TAATGATGGAAAATAATATAGTAGATAACAATGAGATTGTATTTGATTTTTTTTTAAATTTTATTTTGCAATGAAGTTTCATTTTTTGTGCGTGAAAAGATAGAAAAAGAACTAATTCAAAATTATCGTAATTTAAATATAGAATTAAGAGTTAATACCTTCGATGGTCCTCCGAGTATTAGTCATATACCAACTGTGGTCATCCGACTTTTAAATGACCACGAGACGTCCTCCAAGTTTTTAAAAATAACCACCCATGGTCCTCAGTTAAGTTTGGTGTCAAATGGATGTTAAATGTGAGGACAAACATATCATTTCACCTATATTTCTTCCATAAACCTTTTCTAATCAAGCCTCTAGTAGCAAACTAGGCCGGTGATGAAAAATACGGCGGCGATCCTCTGTTTCTCCCCAGCTCTAACGCCGAAGATGACGTGTACATCCTAGTCTTCATCCACGATGAGAAGGCCTGGAAATCAAAGCTCCAGATTGTGAATGTGTAGACCTTAAAGTTAGAGGCCACCGTGGGATGGTTGCTGATAAATCGCCCTCCACCACTGCTTTTATTAATTTTCGCTGGTTGTAGCATACCACTAGTACTCGTCGCTGTGAAAGGAAACAAGTCGTCGCAACTGCTTGCTGGAGGAGATAAGGTCGCTGGTAAGAATCGCTTCGTCGGATGATATCTCGCCATTGACCAAGTTCCACAATCGCCGTTGCTGGAGGTAAATCGTAAATCGCTCAATCATAAATCTAATCGATTAAAACTCCCAAAAATTAAAAATTGAAAAACAAGTACAAATTGTTGAGTGATCAAAACTAGATTTAACCCATTATAAAATTATTAATAAATTTTGAAAATGAAAATTATAAGTGTATTATCAGGGAGTAAGAAAAATGTTACTCCTGTAATTTCTTCTCTTAATTTTACATTCTTTACTTGACGTAATACAACTATTTATATTCATTGGTTACTTGTGAAGTGACCAACAGCAGCCAATATTAAAAAAAAAAAAAATCTACTTATTAATGAAATACAAAAATAACTAATCAAGTATATATTGCTATGTAAGGGGATGGATATTATATATGACTTAAAATTAAGAAGAAAATGTAGCATCACTTGTTAGTAAAAACTATGAAAAAATGGAAGTCAATCCACATGTGATGATTTTATTAGAAGGAGAAAAGAAAAAAAAAATTGTGATCCACTTTTTATGTGAATCAACCCGACAAAATCATGCTAGTAATTAAAGAGTAAAAATTAAGGTAAGAAGCAGTACACATATCTAGTATTACTATACCAATGACTTTGTGCTCTAATGGTATCAAGTAAGTTGTGAGTTCAAATCTCAATGAATGTGTTTTATATGTAACAGAGAGCTTTTTTTTTTTTTTTTTTTTTTTTTTGGATGATTAGGGAAATTAAATTTATAACTACTACGAGGGTATGCACAGAAAGCTATATTCTTATGTAATAGTCCACAAATCACAAATGAGGTGTAAACCGTACTAGGTTTTTATGTAATAATCCACAAATCACAAATGAGCGAAGTAAACCGTACTAGAAAAATCCAGATTTGACCGAAAGGATGTTAGGAAAAACTTGTGACCGTATGATACAAGAATAATGCTCCACTCATTTGACAACTTTCTGGGCTACACCTATCATTTTTTTTTTTTCATTTAATAATGGGATGAGACTAACGTAGTTCATTAGAATACGTACGTAGGAAGAGGTGAAAGGCACCTGTCATGAGTAATGAAGGGAGCATTGAATGGGTAGTTAATAGGGCAGTAAATGAAGGTTATCTTATATCAAGAAATGCCATTAAAGTGCGATATGATGGTGTAGGTGGGAGCAATATTGTATTTTCTTTAGGATTTTGTAGGTAAAGAAGCTATGGTGGATGATTGTCCCAATGGAAAGTGGTGGTGGGAAGATAAGGGTAGGGTGATAGGACTGTGGACTGCCATTAATACACTGGTGGGGGTGGTCGAATTTATGATGACCCATTTCTTGTGCATGTTGTAAAAGGGACAACACACAGGCCGGGTTTCTTCCATTTGTTTTTCGTTTAATTTGTGGTCATGGCAATCCAAGGATACTGTGAAACTACATTGTACACTTCCAAGGAGAATCATGACCCGGCCCCAAACATCTAGAAATGATTGACACAACCACTCTTCTTTGTTTCGTGAATGTCCTGGCGAATATGGAGATTATTATATACATGTAAACAAATAATTTATAATTGCTGATGCATAATAGAATAATTACGGTACAGAAACTATTAATTGTAAGTACAAAATGTGTCCATTATAGATACAAAATCTGAATTGATAATTACTAAAACATAATATGATAGCTACAGGAAAACTATCAACTGCAGGTACAAAATGTGATAACTATAGATATAGAAACGGAAAGTTGTTTTTGGACTAGGGTCTACAATGTAAGGTAGACCCTGGTCCATGGTATAATTTGCCTTGTTATGGTTGGTCGGCTTACACTTTTTGTCCTACCACCACGCACCTGGGCAAATTATATTGTGCACCGCGGTGCATAATCGATTATGCACCGAGCTTCAAAACGACGTCGTTTTGTTTAATAAAAAGAAACGGCGCTCGTTTCATGCCGTTCCACAAAAAGTAACTCTGTTATTCAGTTTCATTTTGTTTACACTGCAGTTTCAGTTCAACACAACTACAATTTCATTTCGATATAACTACAGTTTCATTTGATATTTATACACTCAAATATGTGAAAATGTTATTTAATTTTATTTTATATACACTATAGTTTCATTAAAACACAACTACATGATCATTTCGATATAACTACAGCTTCATTGCACAATATACCTATGTGAAATGTTATTCAATTTTATTTTATATACTGTAGTTTCATTTCACCACAACTACAATATCGTTTTGATATAACTGCAGTTTCATTTGGTAATATATAAAATAATACGTGAGGCAGTGTCGGTTTAGATACACTGTAGTTTTAATTGGTAATTAACACACCAAAAATACGCGCTCCGTTAACAGTAACGGCGCGCCGTTTCTTCACTTAAAGAAACGACGACGTTTTAACCGCAGTGCACGTGCACTACGGTCCATAGTACAATGACCCAGTCACCTCATCTCAGGCCGTGTTTAGCTACTAAAATCAAAATATTTTTATTTTTATTTCATCTTTTATAACAAAAAAAATTGTAATTTTTTTGAATGATGAGAGAAATTCATAGTCATTGCTCAGGAGTGTTTAACCAGCTAACAATTGGTTAAATCAGCTTGAGTTGCTCATATATAGTTGACTGACTCAAATTAAGAAAGTCAATAGACTACTCCTATTGAAAATAATTTGTAATCTTGTAATTATTAAGTCAACACTATTGATTGAGGCTGCACCAGAACTCAGAAGATTGCACTTTTGATCCATATATCAATTATTATTTGTTATGAAGTTTAGTTTATTATTTTTAGTTTTGAAACATTTAGTCACATAATTGTTTTTAATATTGTCAATTTAGTCCTTTAATTACCGAACTATTTGTTTTAAGATTTTTCATGGGTCCAGTAGCGTGAAAATGGACAAAGCCGAGGAAGAAAGGAAAATGTTATACATGAGCTATTGAGTTGCATAAAGAAATTTTAAACATCTATGAAAAATATAATCCCAAAATAAACGATTTGTCAACTAAAGTCTGGAACGATATTAGGTCACCAAAGTCGTTTAGGACGAAATTGAGAAAAACCACTATAGTCGAGGACGATTTTGGGTATTAACTCGATTGAAAATATTGGTATCAATTGAGGGATCAGATTTTTTAAAATTGAATTGAAAATAAAGAATTAAACTATATATTTGATAAGATCTCAGATTTGATCCATAAGAGATTATAGAGCGACATTTAAGTTAAGTTTATTTTAACAACTTTAGAATAAGTCATTGGATTAGTAGGCAAGTAGAGATATGGATAGATACATATATGTCAAATGACAAATTTTACACACACATTAGTTTTATTATAGTAACATTGAAGTATTTTAATTACACTTCATGTATATGCTATCCAATTTCATTTTATACACACAATATATAGGTTAATTATATTAAAAATGTTTTTGAATTCTTTTCTTAGGTTGGAAAATTGGGGTGTGTTACTTAAGTTTTTTCCCCATTTTTAGGGTATTCTCAATTTAAATTTCTTGTTCCATTATTTTTAAAAAGAAAACATATTCATCAATATTTATTTTTGAGAAAATTGTTAAATAAGTTCCTAAACTTAACTCAAAAAAGTCAATTATACCCTTAAACTTTCAAAAGTTGTAATTACACATTTTCACCCACAACATGTTATTTCGAAGCATGCTCAATAACCTATTGGTTGCCTTCTCCAATCGCCGGTGTCTATCATTGCTCTGCTCGGCGGAAATTAGTCGAAGGCTCGCCGTAGAGTTTTTGGAGTTGGCCGAAATCTCAGTTAACCTGCAATTACAAGTCACCAACATGTTATCGGGTTTATTTAATGCTTCAAAATAACATGTTTGTGGCTGTAATTACAACTTTTGAAAGTTTAACTGTTTAAGGACCTAATTGACATTTTAAAGAAAGTTTAGGGGCTTATTTAATTCTTTTCCCTTTATTTTTTATATCATCATTTTCTATTTAGAAAATACGAAATTAGTTAACATCAAATTGTTTTCTATATATCTACTAATCTACAAAATAAAATAAGAGCCAATGTTGGTACAGTTATAACAAAATATTCCATTAACTATTTATTATCCTTAACTTATTATTGCAAAATATTTTCTAACTTTTTAATAACAAAAAAAAATATGATGAATATTTTTTTTTTATATAATAATAATATTATTATTATTATATATAATGATAAAATTAGTGTACATAAACTGAAACTCGTGTTAATTTTTTTTTATTTTTTATTCTTTTTTTTTTGTAAGAATTAGAATATAATAATATTTACATATATATATATATATATATATATATATATATATATATATATATATATATATATATATATATATATATATATATATATATATATGTATGTATGTATATATCATGGTAGGCGCCCTTCGGGGGCTCGGGGAGCGCCTAGGCGGGGATTAATCGGCGCCTAGGCGCCCATGTATTTTTTATTTATTTTTTATTTTAATTTTTTTTTAATTTGTTTTCATTTTTTAAAACTTGATAATTATAAACTATTTAATACTTTAATAGTTAATACTTGTGATTAAACGTATGCAGTAGGCTTACGTAATTGTATATTGATGATGTATTCTGTACAGAAAATGAAAGCCTATATATATACAAGCTAAGGGAAAGCAACGGCCATTAAATTCAAAATTCAAATCCTAAAGTTGAGAGTGATCCTCTCAACCACAACCCAACTCTTCTAACACTCCCCTCAAGCTGGAGCATAAATATCAGACATGCCCAGCTTGTTACATATATACGACATCCGACTCCGGCTCAGCCCTTTCGTGAATATGTCAGCTAATTGATCACCACTACGAACATGCTCAGCAGATACCAGCCCTTGTTGCACTTTCTCTCGTATAAAGTGACAATCCACTTCAATGTCTTTTGTTCTCTCATGGAAAACTGGATTATTCGTAATGTGAATGGCCGCACGATTGTCACACCACAGCTTCACAGGAAGTTTCACTTCTACACCCATCTCTTTTAAAATGTTATGCACCCAAACTACCTCACTGGTCACATGAGCCATAGCTCTATACTCGGACTCTGCACTTGATCGCGCCACAACACTTTGCTTCTTACTCTTCCATGAAACTAAATTGCCTCCCAAAAACACACAATATCCTGTCGTTGACTTCCTATCACTAGGCGAGCCAGCCCAATCCGCATCGGAGAACGCCTCAACACCTGTATGTCCATAATCAGCATAAAGGACCCCCTTCCCAGGTGCGCTCTTCAGATACCTCACAATACGAACAGTTGTTTCCCAATGAGTTCGTGTAGGTGAACTCATGAACTGACTCACCACACTCACCGGAAATGCAATATCCGGTCGAGTAATCGTGAGGTAGTTTAGCTTCCCTACCAGTCTCCTATACCTTTATGGATCCTCAAACACCTCCCCCTCATCTGGTACAAGCTTGACCCCTTGTTCCATTGGCGTATCACACGGTTTCGACCCAAGCAGTCCAGTCTCACCAAGAAGGTCTATCACATATTTTCTCTGTGAGAGAAATATTCCCTTCTTTGAGCGAGCAACCTCAATACCCTGAAAGTATTTTAGTATTCTCAAATCTTTAGTATGAAACTCAGCTCCAAGGAAGGACTTAAGAACACCAATCTCGTCTGCATCACTACCTGTGATCACAATGTAATCAACGTATACTATCAATAAAACACACCCACGGTTAGTATGTTTATAAAAGAGAGTATGATCATAAGCACTCCTCTGCATTCCAAATTTCATAATCGCACTGCTAAACCTCCCGAACCACGCATGCGGGGACTGCCTTAGACCGTACAAAGATTTCTTTAACTTGCACACCTTCCCAGACTCCCCCTGAGCTACAAACCCTGGTGGTTGCTCCATATAAACTTCTTCAAGTAAATCACCATGCAAAAAAACATTTTTGACATCTAATTGATATAACGGCCAGTGATTAGTAGCAGCCAAAGATATAAAAACACGTACCGAAGCCAACTAAGCCACCGGGGATAAAGTCTCGGTATAATCTATACCATACGTCTGTGCATACCCTTTAGCCACCAAGCGCGCTTTGAGTCTGGAAATAGAACCATCAGGGTTCATCTTCACTACATAAACCTATTTACACCCAATAGGTACCTTACCGAATGGAAGATCCACCAAATCCCAGGTTTGGTTCTCTTGAAGAGCAGCCATCTCTTCCCCCATAGCCTGTCTCCAACCATCATGACCCATAGCTTGTTTCAAAGACGTTGGCACTTTAACTGACTCTAACTGAGATATAAAGACACGTGAAGAGGGGGATAAATGGACATATGACACAACTGAAGAGATGGGATGAACACAACGACGCGTACCTTTACGAACAGCAATTGGAAGATCGGAATCCGTTGACGATGACGCTGGCGAGGAAGGATTGGCTGATGGACCTAACAATGCTTGAACTTCTCTTGACCGCCGGTGATAAACTTGTGTAACAGGAGGCCTTGTCTCACCCCAACCCATGGAAGGAACAGTAACAGTATATGTAAGGAAATCGTCCGACACTGAATTACAATAAGATGAGGTGAGTGGTTCCTTAAACACAACATCCTCAAAGAACGACACATCAGCAGACACTAAGTACCTTTGTAAGTCAGGAGAATAACATCGATACCCTTTTTGAGTGCTAGAATACCCCAAGAATATGCACTTCAGAGACTTAGGATCAAGTTTCCCCCTGTGAGGGCGGATATCCTGAACAAAACACGTGCACCCAAACACCCTGGGTGGAAGGGAAAACAACGGATTAGACGGATAGACAAGGTGACACGGAACCTGGCCTTGGAGTACTGTCGAGGGTAATCGATTAATCAAGAACGAGGTTGTATGGACAGCATCCTGCTAGAACCCTTTGGGAACCTTCATCTGAAATAACAAGGCCCGGGCAACCTCCAACAGGTGGTGATTTTTACGTTCTGCCACACCATTCTGCTGAGGAGTGCCCACACAAGAGGACTGGTGTATTATTCCGTTTTGGCTCATATACTCGGAAAAGGTACGGGAAAAATATTCAGTCCCATTATCACTACGCAAAACTTGAATCATTTTATTGAACTGAGTCTTAACCATAGAACAGAATTTACAAAAGACTTCAAACAATTCATCCCTAGATTTCATGAGATATAACCAAGTGTGTCTCGAGAAATCGTCCACAAAGATTACAAAGTATTTGAACCCAGACTTAGATGGAACCCGACATGATCCCCATACATCTGAATGAACCAACTGAAATAAAGACTCTACCCTTTTATTGACTCTAGGCGGATATGGTACCCGACAATGCTTTGCAAACTCGCAAGATTCACATTGCAAAACAGACAAGACTCTAAGTTCGAACACAGCTTCTTTAAAATAGATAAAGGCAGGTGACCATACCGACAATGTAACTTGGAAGGAGACGTACTACCCAACAGACTAACAGGAGCCTTTACAGGACTAGGAGGGAACTGTTCCAGCACATACAGCCCACCAGCTTCCTTTCCTCTACCAATAATCGCCTTCGTCAAAAGATCCTGAAACAAACAATAACTAGGAAAGAACACAACACAACAATTTAAACTTCGAGTGATTTGACTTATCGACAGTAAATTGAACGGAAATTTTGGAAGGTATAACACACGAGAGAGCGGTAACGACATGGTCACACTGGTACTACCTCTACCCGAAACTGAAGCGGATGAACCATCCGCTAGGGTAACTGTAGTACCAGGCGGAAAGGAAGAATATTCAGAAAAGACATTTAGATTACCTGACATATGATCACTGGCTCCAAAATCAATAACCCACTGTCGGGATGAGGACGAGACACAAGCAGTAGGATTACCTGTTTGGACGAACGTGGCTGAGGAAGACGGTAACATTTCCTGACTGTTTAGAGGTTGTGAGGCGGACACTTTTAACTGTTTGAACATAGCCAACTCTTCATCTGTCATTACAACCACATTACCCTCTGGTTTGGAGACAGAATTGAAAAAACTTTGTGGTCGGAGAGGTTTTGGACACTGGTTACGTAGATGACCGGGCTCTCCACAATTATAACAAACTCTTGGACCTCGACCTCATCCTCTACCAAAACCACCACGTCCTGGGAATCGACCCCCGCGATTACCAGAACCTACACCTCCACTATCCCCTTACGCTACAAAAACATGCTTCTCCGATACTCCACTACCTGTACTTGAGGCATTCTGGACCATAGTAAAAACTTGGTCTATTGATTCTAACTCTTTATGCCCTAGCAATTGGGACTTCACGACATCATACTCCTTATCTAACCCTGAAATCCAGCTAAACACATGCAACTGATCACGTTGTTTTTTTTACTGTGTCCAAATCCGTGATTGGCATAAAAGTACACAACGCCTCACTCGCACTCTTGAAATCATAAAAATAATCTCGGATGTCTCGTCCATTTTGGGAGGGACGATGGACATCCTGAGACAATTGATACAATTTCCTCAGATTGTTTGTTCCACTAAACCATTTATTTACCAAGTCCCAAACCTCCTTGACATTCTTACAGTGTTGCATAGATAGAATGATTTTCCTATCAATACAATTTATTATGCGGGATAATAAAGCTTTATCATCCCTGTTCCATTCTTGAGCCTCAGTTTGCTCTGTTGGACACGTCCCAGTCAAATGTTTAACCTTACCCATACCCCCCAAATTAATTTCAACCAAAAATCTCCACTCTTCAAAATTAGACCCATCTGGTGAAAGCACCACATCAACTAATTTGGTCGGGGTCGATATAATATTACACGTAATATTTCTTGCATCCGCCATAAAGAAAAACTTAAACAAAAGAACCTGGGAAACAGTACGAGCCAAATAGCCGACACAAGCTTGAAGAACACTTCCAACCACCCTTCACCAAACTGCCTCACGCGCTGCACAGCCTGATTGGGCTCCTCCCTACGACCACGCCGGTGTCATCGGCGTCACGAGAAGTTGCCGGAAAATTCCTCACGCGCCGGCGCGTGGATCGGCGACCAACTGTCGCGGTGGCGCGAGACGGCGCGTGGAAGCTCCGGTGGTGTCGCGACTTCACGGTGAAGCGTCGCCGTCGTCCTCGCAAACTACCTCTCACCCTCGCCGTGGCTCTGATACCATGTGATTAAACGTATGCAGTAGGCTTACGTAATTGTATATTGATGATGTATTCTGTACAGAAGATGAAAACCTATATATATATACAAGCTAAGGGAAAGCAACAACCATTAAATTCAAAATTCAAATCCTAAGGTTGAGAGTGATCCTCTCAACCA